TGGTTCCCAGAAGTGGGTCCTGAGAAGAGGATTTGTGCTCACTGATTTATTAGGAAATCCATTAAGAATCTTGTACAATAGAAGTAGAATAAAGGGAGGAAATGTATCACTCAGAATCCAGTTAGGAGATAGTAGCCACAACAATCATTTTTTTTTTTTTTTTTAAATCGGTACCAGGGATCGAACTCATGACTGTGCACTTGCAAGGCAGGCACTTATGCCACTGAGTATATCCCCAGCCCCTATAATAATCATTTTTAAGAGAAAATTGAAAATAGAGAACTATTAAAGTCAAAACAAGCACACTAAATATTGTGGAGGTAGCATTTCCAGGAAACAGTCACCATCCCTAGGGTTGGCAAAACATAGAGAATACTCAGAAGCTTGGAGGAGTGGTCTCATGGACCTGAAACTCAGGCCTTAGAGAATGTAGCAAGGTTTAGCTTGGAAGAGAGACCCCACGGTGCTGGGAGTCAGCCTCTAAAGCGGGTGACAGCAGCTGTTGTTTGTGTCTGTAGAGGATACAATCAGATCAGTTCTGCAAGTGTTAGGAGAATGCAAGTTCTGAATGGACAGTCACTGCTGGAGTGTAAGTTTCTGGATTCACAATGCCCGAAACTTAAAGCAAGGGGCAAGGCCTTCCTCCACCAGCCTTGCGTTTTCCTTCTGCTGTTCTGTACTGGCAGAGCTGAACAGCAAGAAGTTGTTAGATACTGTTGTCCCTCAGAATCTGCAGGGAATTGGTCCCAGGAGTTTCCCCTGATGCCACAATCCAAGTATGCTCCAATTCCTTATAGCAAAGGTACAGCATTTGCACATAAACTACATGATTTATTTTAGCTTTTGTGATAGGGTTTCACTATACAATTCAGGCTGGCCTTGAACTCACTAAGGAGGCCAGGCTGGCCTCAAATGCATGATGAATCTGTGCCTCTGCCACCTGGGTACTGCGATTATAGGCAAGTGCCACACACTTGGCACTACACAATCGTTTTATACTTTAAATCATGTCTACTTTTACTTACAATGCTAATACAATGTAGATGATACATAAGCAGTCATACTGTGCTAAGGGATAATGATAGAAAAATTCTGTGCCATGTTCAGTTCAGACAGTGTAGAAAGTTCTTTTTTTCTATTCACAGATGCAGAGGGCCAACTGTAAATATCAAAGGGTGTGCAGTATGCCCCCTGCCACGGTTCTAAAAGCTGCCTTATTTCTTTGCTTTCTTGACTAAATCTTTTCTTCCTACTCTTAATAATCAATATTTTTTTGAGGTATCTGTAAAGCTCTTTTTTTAAGGGTGAGTCACCTTTGTCAAATTCCACTGGGGCTTCCTTGCTGAAAGCCTTTTAAATTCACAACTTTGGAATCTAGAAGTATTTTCCACCCTGCAAAGCTCCCAGCTGCCAGGTTCTCCCTATTCCCTTTCACTTGTTTGCAAACTAGTAAATTCTGTTCTACTTTAATCTTTATGGTAATACCCTGTTAAAGATATAGAAAAAGAAATCATCAACCGTCACTATTTTTCAGTCCACATATGTTGTGCATCCTTTAGCATACAATGTGAAAATTTGATACATCCAGTGTATAATAAATCAAGATAATCAGTATTCCCCTCTCCTGAAATGTTTATCCCATGCATTGGGAATCTTTCAACTCCTTTTAGTTCTTCATAATATATAATCAATTCTTATGAATTGTCACTATTGTCACCCCTTTGTGTGGGACAGCAGTAGAGCTCATTCTTATGTAACTCTGTTTTACATTCATTATCCTGGCTCACTACATCCCTTGTCCTCTGGTGATCTTTGCCCCGTGACCACTATCCTGCTCTCTACTTTTCGGTTTCCACACAAGAGTGAGAACATGCATTGTCTGTTTCTGCATGGCTTATTTCATTTAACATTACTGCTTCCAATTCCATCCATGGTATTGCAAATGACAGAATTTTATTTTATGAGTAGAATACATATGTAATCTCACACTTTATCAATTCATTTGTTGATGGATATCTCAGTTGATGCTATTGTCTTGGCTATGTGACTAGTGCTACAACAAAGAAAGGAGCACAGATGTCTCTTGGACATATTGATTTCATTTAATTGGCTGTATACCCAGGATCTTTTCATCCTTGCCAGTGTTTACTATTTGTCTCTTTTATTACAGCCATTCTAAGGTGAGATAATCTCATTATGATTCTGATTTATATCTTTCTAATGACTGCTGATAGAACACTTTTTCCCCATAAACTAGTCACTCATTTGTATACTATCTTTTGAGAACCGTCTATTTGGATTTATTTATTCATTTTTAAACTGATTTTTTGTTACTGAGTTTTTGAGCTGCATTATGAAAACTTTGAAAATACCTTCCCTCATTCTGCAAGTTGTCTCTTCCATCTATTATAACCTTTGATGTGCAGAAGCTTCTTACTCTGGTATAATCTCATTTATCTATTCTTGCTTTTAGGGTTTTATCAAGACCAGTGTCAATATTTTTAAGTGTTTCCCTAAGTTTTCTTCCAATAATTTGAGTTTTGGACCTAACAGTTCTTTGATTCCTTGTAAATGGATTTTGTATAGAGTGGTAAGGGTCTAGTTTCAAAGCAGTTTCTTCTGCATATAGAAGGTTTTCTTAGCACCATTTGCTAAAGAGACTTTTTTCCAATGTGTTTTTGGAAAATTTTGTGACAGTTGCTTGTACTGCTTTGGGTTCTCTATTCTGTTGCACTGGTCTAAGCAGTAGTTTTTACACTAGTATCTTACTGTTTCCTTACTGTTTTTGTAGATGTAGCTTTGTAGTGTTTTGGGGTCTGGCACTATGGTACCTCCAGTTTTTTTTTTTTTTTTTTTTTTAGCTCAGTGAACAATGTTACTGGTATTTTAATGGAGAGTGAATTGATTTATAATCACAAATCATGTAGACATTGATCTGTCTTCTGAGGTACAGTTACTAGGTGTTGTGGTACTAGAGTCTCAGGTCAGTTTTTTCTGTTCTGAGCCAAGGCAAGTACAAACAGCAGCGGAGTTTTATTAAAGGTAGTAAAAAAATGAACTTTGCAGTGTGAGTTTGTGCCAAGTAAAAGTAGGAAAAAAAAGTATACCCTCAGCAGTGATAGCAAAATTTTTATTAGAGACTGAATGTCCAAACTGTAACTTAAAACCCACTTATTTATTGCAAAGTGCCAACACTGCAATTAAACCTGAGGTTTTAGTTTAGAAAAAGCAACTCACATAAACATCTTTTGTCTTAATAGGAAAACAGCTTTCAATGATACAAACAGTCAGGCATAGTGATGCACTCCGGTAATCTGGTTCTTTGCAAGTTCGAGACCAGCCTGGGCTACAAAGTGAGTCCAAGGCCAGCCTGAACCAAATAGCAGGACCCTGTCTGAAAAAGACAAAAAAAAGATAACAAATTGCTTTTTATTGAAAGGTAAAAATTTGCATTTGGTGTGCTTTTCCACAATCAATGTGATCTCTGCTTTCATGTGCATGCTGGTAATTTGTCAAACCTTAGCTGGGGCAACCTGGCTTGTATGCCAACAGAGAGGGCTCCAAGTGCCCATTTTTTCTCAGTATTATTAGTAACAGGTTAACCACCGCCTGAGTGTTCTGTTGTCCTGGCTCCTATATCTCCTCAAATTCCCAACTGACTTCTAGGTCAAGCTAATGCCAGGGATTTTAGTTTTCTGTTTTGTTTGCATTTTTGTTAAGGCTGGCTGCTACTTCCTTATTAGTGAAGGTTAGTTATTGTAGCTATTGTAATAAATGGTTCTCAAATCTTGGTAGCATAACTAAATGAAGATTTGTTTTTTGCCCTAATCAGCCCAATGAGAATCAGCCTGGCGTGACGCACAACGCAATCATTAAAACATCTGAGGTCCTTGCATCTAATGGGGCTCACATCTTCTAGCAGTTACAAGTTCTCCGTTTGACTAAAGCATAAAAAGCAAACAGGTGCTATAAATCAAGAGCTTTTAAGAGTCAGACTTGAAAGGTTTTGCCCTAGTATAAATTACTGTACAATTATGGCGGTGGTCTAACATGGCAAAAGGCCAAAGTGGGAACGCCTACCACTTCTGCAGCCCTAATTGCAGCTCCCTTTCCTGTTTGCCCGAGCAGAGAGAATTTTGATCGGTTTCTCACACATCATCAATGCCCATCCCATGCACTGCCACTTCCCATCACAGGTCATATAACCTTCACCATGGGTTGTGTGCTCCTTTCCATGTCCTCAATAAAACCTGTTCTTTTTTTTTTTTTTTTTAACTTTTTGCTTCTCTATTGTGCCAGAAAACTCTTACAAGACATATTGGATGAGCAGAACTTCTGTCTACATCCACTTGTCAAAAACAGTCACATAGCTTGGTCTGGAGTATAAGAGCTAAAAAATGTAGCTCTCTTGAACTGAAAAAAAATTATATGGTAAAGATGTGTCATTATCTCTATCATAGGATACTTTCAGTTGTCTGTTGACAACTCAAACTGCCTTTGTGGAGAGAAAAAAACTTTCCATGTCCTTAGGTTCAACAATTGAGGGCTTGTGTATTAAACGCTCAGATTAGCAAGAGATTTCTGAAAGATTCTTGCCCCTGTATAAATTACTGTTCGGTTATGGCGGTGGTCTAACGTGGTGGAAGGCCAAAGCCAGAACACCTACCACTTTCTGCTTCTTTCTCAGCCCTAACTGCAACTCCCCTTCCTGTTTGGGCAGGAAGAAAACTCTAATCAGCTCCTCATGCATCATCAATGCCACCCCCATCAGAGGTTTTATATCTATCTGCCTATCTATCTATCTATCTATCTCCCATACTCCACGTTCTGCTCAGAGGGACCTAGGCCATCTATGGTCATGGACTCCTCTCCGTGTCCTTGGAATAAAGGCTATTTTTAATCTTATATTCTCTTTTATCACACACAAAACTCTTTCAATTTCAATCATTTATGTAACAGAGTTTAGAAAGACCTGTGACTGGAGGTTGGTTGCAATTTGTAGCTTGTATATGTACATTTTTTCCCTGAAGAGGAAGGGGAGAGGAGCGTTTGCTTACAGGGAAAACAAATGACTTTTGAGAAGAGGAAGGCAGAAATGGCCCCCTTACAGAAAAACAAATTAGATTTAGGAGAGATAAACGGCCCCCAATATAACAGTTTTGTAACAGTATCTCTTGAGGTGTGGTGACAATTCTCATTGTTTCTGGTTGCTGGGGGGGGTATTTATAACAATTTTCTTTTAGGTTCCTGTAGAAGGCTGTGTTTTTAGGCAGATTACAGTTTTCAGGCATTCAAATGCATTTTAACTCAAAATTATTTTTACACTACGATAATTTATTCTGTACCCCATTCAGCCTAAACAACAAAGGAGATTTAGAAACTCACATAATAGAGAAGTCTAAAGAGAACAAGGGTTTCAGCTTGGGTTTGATATGGATGTTTAAGATGCTCTAAGGAATCCGCTTGCTTTTTTCTCCCAGTCATTTATGCTCCACGTTGTGTTTCATTCTCTGTTGGTTCTCATCAGCAAAAAAAGAAAGATAATTGTAGCTCTTTCAGTATTCACATTGAAACATCACACTACCCAAAGAAAAATCTTGTCAGTAAAACAACGACGTTGGCCTTCATCTCACTGGCCTCTGAAACGAAAACTGGTTCAAAGTATAAAACTCATTCTGATAGTTTGAGGACAGTTGGGCCTTTTGTAGATTTGTTGGGGGTAGGGACAAGTTTTGCCTAAATTACATGGGAAAACACAAAAGTAGTTATGGAACGGAAGCTGGAAAATTGCTTACATGTATCCATTATAATCAATCAGGGAACAGCCTGGCTCACAACCTCACTTAATGAGCATGCACGAATCCTTCAACGTGAGCGCACAATATGTAAAAAGAGCAGAAAATGTATCAAATAAAAGGAAGAGAAAATCGTAAAAGATACGAAGGTAAGGTCAAGAGAATTAAGAAACAGATGTTCCACAAGTCAATCGGATGGAGTCAGTCAAAATACAAATTGCTTCTTATTTGCTGGGCCCCTTCTCAGCAGGTGGCCTTTGTAATTTGGCTTTACCCATAAATGTTCCTTTTGAAAGCAAATACAGTGAGCGGAGCTATCCAGTCTTCTGGCTCTTCACCCCCTCCCATCTAAAGATGGGGTATAAATTCTCCTTACAGGGGATGGTAAGTAACCCCAGCAGAGGCGGCTAAAATGAAATCTCACCTCGTTTGTCTCACCCATAGACTTATCTTTACTCCCCGGGAGCCCTAAAATTGCGTCTCTTCATTTCCATTTCCCCACGATTTGATTGTTCTTTGTGAAAGCTGCTACATAAGGCAGAGTTCCAAGCCACCGTCTTATTTGCTCTGCGGTGTCTCCTGCGTGCACCAGTACACTTGCTTTTCTGCCGCTCGTCCCATCCCCGCATTTCCAAGGAAGGCCCAGAGACGGCGGCCGGCGGGAGGCCGAGGACGCCCGGTACGGACTGGAAGACCAAGTCGGCGGCCCGGTCAGCGCCCGGAAGCCCGCTCGCATCCCGGCAAGTGCTCCGTGCGCGCCGGCCGCGCCCTCCCGCTCATTGCTGTGCTCGCTGCCGCGCGGCGGAGCGCAACGCGGGCCCCGGACAGCCCCGCTCCAGGGCGGCCACCGCCCGCGGGGCGCGGCCCCGAGGCCGCGTGGCGGGCCCAGCGAGTCCCCGGCCCGCGAGGCCCCGCGGCGCCTACGGCGGGCGGCTCGCGTCGGCGCGAAGACCGGGCGCGGACGCGCGGCGCTGGCCCGGAGCCTACCCATGAGGCAGCGCGCCGGCCGCCGCCGGAGCTCCCCGGCCCGGCCGCCGCTCCGCGACGGAGCCGCCGCCTGGCCGCACGCGCCTCCTACTGCTGCCGCTGCTGAGCCTGCTGTCAGGCCCACCCGTTCACACTCGGTAAGCGCACCCGTCCGCCCCGCGCAGCGGCAAGCGCGGCCTCCTGCGGTCGCCGCCCGGCTCCGAGCGCGGGCCGGAGTCCCAGCGGGGAGGCGCCGCCATCTTGGCCGCCTGGCCCGCGCGCCGGCCCGGCTTTCGGTGCTGGGCGCCCGGCTGCGGGCGTCGGGGCGGCCGCCGCGTCGGCCTGGGTCTGCACGCCCCGCCGCCCGCCGCTGGGAGGAGGCCGCGCGTAGGCTGTCGCGTCGCCCGCATGCCCGCACTCCTCATTGTCCGCCCGCGGCCTGGGCGCGGCCCGCGGCCTCTGCAGCCCTCGGGGCGCCGGCTGCCTAGCTCTAGCCCGCTCGCACGCAAGGCGCCGGAGCCCCGGCCACCGCGGTCCTCGCTCGAGCGGACCTGGCGCGGAGGAAGCAAGTTGAGTGACCCGCGCGCGCGCTCGGGCGGTGGTGGGGACCTGCGGCCGCGAGGCGCTTTGTTCGGCGGAGGTTTAAATTCTTCCAGCTCGAAGTGTCGGCCTTGTTGTTTGCGGGGCAGGAGTGGGGCTCGCAGGGACCGGCCGTTCCCTGGCGCCCTTAGGCGTCAAAGTTAGACAAGGCGTTCGAGGGCGCGGGGCCGCCCAGGTCTCGCACGGGTCCTGCGTGGGCGCCGGCGCCGCGCGGGGAGGGGCAGACATCGCGCCTCTGCGGTCCCGGCGCAGCGTGTCGCGGCTGTCGCTGCTGTCGCTGAGTCTGTGCCTGCACCCTTGCCGAAGTGGTGTATGCAGGTGGCAGTGTTTGCAGATGAGAGCCTCGCTTGAACGGTTCACCTGTCTGGCGGGGGCAGGGGCCGGCTGTGGACCCTGGTCTCCCTCCGCACGCGGCTCTGTTCACCATTAATATGCCCGGTGTTTGGTGGCCCGGGGAAAACGGGGGGGGGGGTTACCCATTGACAACACTAGATACTGTTAAATTGCCAGTTTTTATATTTTTACTTTTAAAGTAATTGATCTTGCAACTTTTTGAGTAATCATGTCATTTTTTAAAACATGTCGAAGAGTTAAATAATATATTTGGACATTCGTACCTACCAATTTTTTTTTTAACCATTTGGCAACTTTTGCATTATCTAGCTGTCTCACATCCTGAACATTTCAAAATATGTTAGGGATGCTATATACGGTCAGGATGTATATTGTGAATCAATTCCATAGTCCCATTCAAGAATGTTAAAAATATTTCCTAAAACGTAATATGTATATAGTATATATTTACGTTTCCCTGTATTCGTTTTCTGGTCATTTTATTTTGTTTTTTTGGTGCCAGGGATCGAACTCCTGACCTCGCACTTGTCAGGCAAGTCCTTGTGCAGCTGAGCAAAATCCCAGGCCTTTTAGTCACTTTAGAACCGAGAACTATTTATTACATTTGTTTGCCTTAGTCTCTCAATGTAGACGTTTTTCTGTTCTTTTTTTAATGACATTGACTTTTTGAAGAGGCCAGGTATTAATCCTGCAGAAGAGCCCACATTCTGTACAGTATTTTAGTCCTGGTTCCTCCTCATGTTTAAATTTCACTCTATTCCTTGTATTTTCTGTAAACTTGTGGAAAGAGGCTGAAATAGATTGAGATGTAAGTCATGCAGTGTTCTTCATATTGCATAACACAAGAAGATACCTAAAGGAGGATTGTCTATTAGTAACCCTAAGTTTTGATCTCTTGGATAAGATGGCCACAAGCCTTCTTTCCATTAAAGCATTTCCTTTTGCAATTAGCAAGTAATTTGCTGGGGGATACTATGGCATTAGTACTTAGAGTCAGTCATCTGATGAACAGTTGGCAACAGGCCTCCAGGAATGGATGGATATGTGTTTGAGAGGAAAAAGGAATCAGTTTTGGAGACTAGAACTAATGTAGGTTTAGGGAGTTGGAATTGCTGAGCATTGGCATCCAAGCCTGGAGAGGTGTGAAGAAGGGGAAGCAGAAAATCAGGAAGACTTGGCCTTGCTCTGAAGTTTGCTCAGGGCCACTGGAGCAGTAGTGGAAGTGCTGACAGAACTGTGGCTGTTGAAGGACTATAAATCTCAGTCTCTGCTTCAGCCCTGCATTCCCAGTTAGGCCCAGTATTCTGGTCCACAACCTTCAATCCAGTACTGTACTACTCAGCATTAGCCATTGGAAAAGAGACAAAAGAAATAACTTTATACTCTTATATTTGTTTATTCAAAAGGAAATTTAGAATTTTATGAATTTGAACAACAGTTTTTGTAAGTAAAAGTGAATAATTTTAGGTGACAAGAAATTAGAAATTAATATTGGTGGTGCTGTAAATGACTTTTGAAAGATGAGACACATAAAATATTTACTAATTTGAGACATTGGAGAGTTCTTTTGAGAGGGATTAACATTTTCATTGAAAATTTTAAAGTAATTTAATAATTAGATTTACGCTGCAACATATTTTACAAAGCAATTTTCTTTTAAGGATTCTCTTAGCCCTCAGTATATTTAGAATTATTGCTGTTTGCCATCTAGGTTGGAAGGATTGTTTTTCTTTTTGGGGTAGTGAGGTTTGAACCCAGGGCCTTCTCACTCAGCTATATTACTAGCCTTCTTGTATTTTGAGGTGGTCTCATTAAGTTGTTAATTTGCCCAGACTGGGCTTGAACTGTGATTCCCCTGCCTCAGTCACCCCAAATGCTGGAATTACAGGTGAGTATCACCACTCTTGGCTTTTATTTTCATTTTTTATATTTTAAAGTTAATATAGTTAATAAAGAATAAAAACATGTTGTAAAAACATAAGGATGAAGCCATAATGTAAAAGAAATTATTGGAGGTTTTTAATAAGAAATTTGTGTGTGTGTGTTTTTGAGACAAGGTCTTAAGTTTCAGGCTGGTGCCCAGGCTGGTCTCACACCTGCGAGCAGTTCTCCTGCTTCAGCCTCCCAAGTGCTGGGATCACAGGAGTGCACCACCACACCTGACTTAGTAAGAATTTAAATGTAGCAAATGTTTCCGCATATCCTTAGAAAAATGAAAAACAAATTTCATCCATTTAGTTAAATATCAGCCCTACAGTGAATCACACTTCAATACTTTAGGCAAACATTAGAATTATAGCCTACTAGTTAAAAGAATACCTCATTTCTCACTTTGAGATCTGTGGCTTTAGAACAGTGGGGTTAGAAGGTAAGAAAAAAATCACCTTACAAGTTCTTATTTGCTTGTAGAATTTTCTTCAGGATTTCAATTTTGTAACTAAAGCTTTTGGTATATACTGAAAGCTTTCTTTGCTTTAGTGTCAATCATAGGCTATGTTTAAGGTTTTTTGTAAGTTTAATTTGTGAACCTCTTTTTGAATGTATCTATTAAATTCTCCTGTAATCTTTTTAAATGACAGATCACTTAAGGTCAATTTTTTTTTTTTTTTTTTTGTATTTTTACCGGTACCAGGGATCGAACTCAAGACCACACACTTGCAAGGCAGGCGCTTATGCCGCTGAGCTAAATCCCCAGCCCCAAGGTCAATTTTTTTATTCAGTTCTGTTTGAGAATACATTAAGCTAAGAAAACCACTGTTTTGTTAGTATGGTCAGAATCATGGACTTGTTTGAAATCTTGGTTATATGTGATTGATTTCTCTTGGCTTCCCCATTTGTGAAAATACTCCTACTTTTCCTAAGAATCCCAGTTTCTTTTTTTTCTTTCTTTGTTTTTGGAGACAGGGTCTTGCTGTGTAGTTCAGATTTTAACTCACTATATAGCCCAGGCTGGCCTTAAACTTTTAATGATTTTTTTTCCTCAGCCTCCCAAGTTATAGGCTGCTCCACGTAGCCCCGCCTAAGGACAGTTTCTTGCTGGATAATATACTTGGCCAGTTGAAGACCAACACTGTAACAGTGAGCTCTGATAAAGAGAAAAGTTTCCAGGTAGATGGATTTTGAAGGCCTATTGTATTTCAGCCCATTCCCTTCAGTTAGGCCTAGTATTTTTGGCCAGAGTTTTTGTAAAAAACTTGTGTAAAAATTCGTATCAACTTACTCTTCTCTTCCTGATTCACCAGCTAGAGTAAGTCCAAAGAATTTTTAGTTTCCTTCCCATTATCTCTCTGTGTAGTTTTCAAAACTTGCGGACTGATGAAATGTGTAAAGCAAAGATGAAGCATTCAAATGTAAGGGCCAAAAGAAAACCTGTATCTGTCCCTTTAGCAAATCATTATCCACATTCCTACTGTAAAAATACTGCATGACAGAGTCTTTTTCTGCTGAATGAGAACACTGTATTTCCTTTTTGTTTTTAGAAGTATATTGTTTACCCATTGCTTGTTGAGTTTGAGAAAATTCATTAGGATATCTCAGTCTAAGATTTCTTTCAGTAAGTTTCACTGCCTTCATTAGTTTGAAGTGCTGTCTATCCTTGCATTTGTCTTTCAGTTTGTCTAATAATTATGATATGTCTTCTGTTGTCAGTTCTCTTCCATTACGGGCAAAAAATAAAAAATTCTGAATTCTTAAGTGTTTATATAAAAAGCTAAAATTAGATGAAGGAAATCCAAATATCCTACCTCAAACTAAGCCATACTGATGTAAAAATTGTTCAGAGTTTAAGACAATTGAGCATCAACTAATGCAGGAAGAGTTTTTGACTGCGTCTGCCTTGGAGCCAGATACGAAGTTTGCTTTGAGAGGTATTTCTGTGCTAAATCAGGAAAAGAAGAGTAAGTTTTTCTCCAGAAACTGAGAGCTGGCAGAGAGATGAGTTTGTATAAAGAGACCTTACTAAAATAATCCTCATCTTCCATTAGTTTTCTCCTGTTTTTCCTAGTACTTTCCTTGTGATTTATTACCATTCAAGTCTAACCTCTCCTTTCTATTAAAATGATATATAAGCCCCTGTCTAACTGTTCCTCAGAATTTCAGTTCTTTTCTATGAACTCTTGTGTATGTAGATACTAATAAAGATTGTTTTGACTTTTCTTCTGCTAACCTGTCTTGTAGTTTAATTTGCAGGCCCTAGGTACTGAGC